GTACTTTCGCCAAATATGTTTACATGTGTGGCTTGTGCGAAAGGTAAATATATTGTACGCCCGTCGCGTACTAAGGTTGGACATGAATCGCCTATATTTCTGCAGAGATTGCAGGGCGACATTTGTGGACCTATTAGTCCACTTTCTGGACCATTTAGATATTTTATGGTCCTTATTGATGCTTACACTTGTTGGACTCATGTTAGTCTACTGTCCACGAGGAACAAAGCTTTCGCTAAATTTGTTGCGAAAATTATTGAGTTGAATGCCCAATTCCCAGATTATCCCATTAAATCAATAAGAATGGATAATGCTGGAGAATTCACATCAACGGCTTTCAATGATTATTGTATGGCCTTGGGCATCAAAGTGGAGCATCCTGCACCTTATGTCCATACTCAGAATGGCTTGGCTGAGTCTCTGATTAAGCGTATTAAATTAATCGCTAGACCATTACTGCAGAAGTCTGGTTTACCAGTCTCATGTTGGGGACACGCAGTATTACATGCTGCAGCTTTAATTCAAATCCGACCTAGTGCATATCATGATTATTCCCGTTGCAACTACTACGTGGCGTAGAACCTAACATTTCCCATCTGCGTGTATTTGGGTGTGCAGTTTATACCCCCATACCACCTACAAATCGTACCTCCATGGGCCCGCAACGAAAACTAGGTATATATGTTGGTTATGAATCTCCTTCCATCATTAAATACCTAGAGCCCATGACAGGAGATCAGTTTACCGCGAGGTACGCTGACTGCATTTTTGATGAAGATCATTTCCCGGCATTAGGGGGAGATAAAAGACCTTATTTAACGAAATGCCGAGAAATCTCATGGGATGAAAAGGATCTTCAGTATCTAGACCCACGTACTAGTCAAACTGAACTAGAAGTTCAGAAAATTATTAATTTGCAAAATTTAGCAAATAACCTGCCAGATGCTTTTACTGATAACAGAGGAGTGACTAGGTCCCATATCCCTGCTGTGAATGCTCCTTCGAGAGTTGAAGTCCCCGTGGGACCAAGTATGCACACTGACACTCCCCATCGCCAGAAGCGCGGGAGACCACTTGGTGCAAAAGATTTAAATCCACGGAAGACGAGAATCGGTAAAATATCTCAGTCACTCCAGAAAAATGTTAACCGTCCTGAAGACGACCGTCCCGAAGACGGAGAACCCAGTGAACCTGCACGTGCTCTAAATAATACGAACACTGGGGATGCGGAACATCCAGATCAAAATATTTTGGGAAATGACGATGATCTGGTTGATGTCAATATAGAAACGGCCATAAATTTTGTTGATACAGGAGAAACATATAACAGAGATTTAATAGTCGTCGACGACACTTTTGCCTATGCAGTTGCTTGTAATATTCCACAAAATAATCTGGATCCAGAACCAAAGTCAATAACCGAGTGCCGGAAGCGCTCTGACTGGTTGAAGTGGAAACAGGCAATTGAGGCAGAGCTCAACTCGCTTAATCAAAGAAAAGTTTTTGGTCCCACCGTACTTACCCCAAAAGATGTGATCCCAGTAGGATCCAGGTGGGTATTCGTACGGAAGAGGAATGAAAACAATGAGGTGGTTAGATATAAAGCGAGATTGGTAGCTCAGGGGTTCACGCAGAGACCCGGAATTGATTTTGATCAAACATACTCTCCTGTTATTGATGGCATCTCATTCCGCTATTTAATATCATTGGCAGTAAGTATGAAATTAGATATGCAGTTGATGGATGTAGTGACAGCTTACCTTTATGGGTCACTAGATGCTGATATATACATGAAAATACCCGAGGGTATTCAAAATTCCAATATGAGGGATAAAGATCGAAACATGTATAGCATCAAACTTCAAAGGTCATTATATGGCTTGAAGCAATCTGGTAGAATGTGGTATAACCATCTGAGTGAATTCCTCCTGAAGAAGGGATATGTTAAAAATGATATTTGCCCTTGTATATTCATTAAGAAGTCATCTAATGGCTTCTGCATTATATCTGTCTATGTTGATGACATGAACATTATTGGAACAAAGGAAGAACTTATAGAAGCATGTTCATGCTTAAAAGCAGAATTTGAAATGAAAGACTTGGGAAAAACCAAGTTCTGCCTCGGCCTGCAGATCGAGCATCTTCCAAATGGAATTTTCATTCACCAAGCCAACTACATTAATAAATTATTGGAGAAATTCTATATGGATAAATCTCATCCCCTTAGCACCCCAATGGTGGTCCGATCCCTTGAAGCGGAAAAGGACCCATTTAGACCTAAGGAGGATAATGAGGAGGTTCTAGGACCTGAAGTTCCTTACCTAAGTGCTATTGGAGCCTTGCTTTACCTAGCTAATTGCACAAGGCCTGATATTGCCTTTTCAGTGAATTTACTTGCTAGATTTAGTGCATCTCCGACCAGAAGACATTGGAGTGGAATAAAGCATATCTTTAGATATCTCCAAGGGACAAAAGACCTTGGTCTTTATTTTGAAAACAACCAGGACATTACTTTGAAAGGGTATTCAGACGCTGGTTATATGTCTGACCCTCATACTGCTAAATCGCAAATTGGTTATGTTTTTCTTTGTGGAGGTACAGCTATATCTTGGAGGTCCATTAAACAGACCTTAGTTGCTACCTCATCTAATCACTCGGAGATAATTGCTTTATATGAAACCGCACGCGAATGCGTATGGTTGAGATCACTGATACAGCATATTCATCGCTCATGCGGAACAATGAGCAATGTTGATTCCCCGACTGTCCTATATGAGGACAATGCGGCATGTGTTGCACAGATGAGTAATGGGTACGTTAAAGGAGGTCTTACTAAACATATTGCTCCTAAGTTCTTTTACCCACATGAACTCCAGAAGAGTGGTGAAATACTCATTGAAAAGGTTCGCTCTAGTGAAAATCTGGCAGATTTGTTCACTAAGTCCCTGCCTACATCAACTTTTGAGAAGTATGTTTATAAAATTGGGATGCGGAGTCTAGGAAGACTGTTGTCTTCAGGGGGAACGATAAACTCGGTCTAGGAGACTTTTAAATCCTGAAGATGATGCCCAGAAGGCTTATGGTTGTACTCTTTTTCCCTTAGCTAAGTTTTTTTTCCCACTGGGTTTTTCTTAGGCTAAGGTTTTTAACGAGGCAACCGATGCAACACATGATTGATACTACATGTACTCTTTTCCTCGACTAGGTTTTTCCCACAGGGTTTTTCTAGCGAGGTTTTTAACGAGGCATGAGTATAATTATTTAATGGCCAAGGGGGAGTGTTGTAAATATTTATATTTATGGCCATTAAACTATTTAGACCTTTCATTTGCTTATCATTTAATCATGTATTGATGTTGTGTACTTGAAAGGTTGTATATGACCACTATATAAAGTGAGTGAAGATGAATGAAAGGGACACACTTACATGATGGTTATATTATAACTTGGTGTTCTTCTCCTCCTCCTTTTTCTTCTCTTTACATATACAAACACACATACATATATATATATATATATATATATATATATATATATATATATATATATATATATATATATATATATATATATATATATATATATATATATATATATATATATATATATATACACGCAATTCCGGGTGTATAATTGTGCAAGCATCACGCGGGGACTAACGAGTGAATAGGCCAAAACTTAACACAATTCAAACTTTCAGTTCTAATTGCTTTTTAATGGTGAGCATGTGTGTGCCGAATTTTATCAATCATTACTGTATGGACCATAGTTCACACAAGTTGTGTGGACCATATTTTGTCTACTGTAAAATAATGTATATTCAGTAGAAAATTAATGTACATTGTATTTAAGGGATGTACATTATTTTTGTTCTGAGTGTACATTATATTATATAATGTATATTCATTACAAAAATAATGTACATTTAGTATATTAAAAATGTACTTTTTGTTATGGTCCACATAACATTGTGTGGACCATGGTCCACACAATAATTTGCCGAATTTTATCACACTATGCTGGATTTGGATGATTCTAATAACTTAAACCTTAGGGTTTGCAGTTATTTGCACAAAATGTTTTTCACTTATGATACTGCAATTGTTTTGTTTTTAAATAAAGATTTATACTTCTTTTATCTTCGCTGGGCTTGACTTGTATTCCTGACTTATGTGTATTACTTATTTATATTATTCTTTGCAGTTTTATACTCAACGGGCCTATTAGCTCAGCTGGTTAGAGTGTCGTGCTAATAACGCAAAGGTCGCAGGTTCGAGACCTGCATGGGCCATTTTCCTTTATTTTGGCAATCAAACTGAACTAAGTTCGAATCTGCTATATATGTTTATATTATAATTAAAACCTGTTGATTCCCTTTTAACATACACTATTATTTAGACACCAAAGAGGTTTAAGTTTGATTCTGCTAGGTTTAGAATATTATGTTATCAACAATATGTTTGGTATACAGATAAGGCCTACCGGCTTAACTAAAGTACATAGTTGTAACTTGTAAGAGTGGCTGCGCATCCCACCCATTTGTTTGAGACAAATAAAGGTTTAAAAGGGGGAGAAATGATATTACAAATGCTGTCTTAGTTTAATTGTCGTGCATATATTGCAATTGTGCTGTGTGTTATAGTGTCGTGCATATATTGCAATTGTGCTGTGTGTTTGTAAAATTAGTTGCCATATATCATATAATGGGAGAAATAAACAAAACTTTGTTTGGTTAGTAGACGGTGTAGACCTGCTCTATTGCAGCGAAATAGAAATTTGGACGAATATCTCAACACCATGGGATGAACAAGTAGGTCAGGCCGGCTTTTGAATCTGATTCTAGTGTGTTTAGAATATTCTGTTATCAACAGTAATATTTGATATACATTTAAGGCCTAGTGGCCTACCACTTGACCAAAGTACATAGTTTTAATAATGGATGTGCTTCAAGCAGAGCTAGAACAAGTAGGAAGAAATTAAGATAATTGACACGGGTAATACGGGAAGAGTTGGAAGTGGAGGAGTCGTGACCGGAGAATTGTCCCCCGGTGTAGGTCTTACCAAAAGACCAGCCCGGAGGTGTTACATTGTTTTCAGACAAGAGTGCGTTGGTCGCTGGTTGTGACCTTGAAAGACAATGCTTGTCCATCGAGGTACGCCTTACTTTGCCAGTTTTGGCCCCAATTGTGAGACATCGGTAACCAGCTAGTGTTGGATCCTTTGATAGAGACAGACACAACATCCCCTGCTCCTCCCACGTTGGAAATCAGTACAAGGTTGTAGTAGGAATGTCCTGTTATACTGAATTTTATTCCCCCTCTCTTCTTGCAAGGAACTCTGTTCACCCATCCAAGTTAATTAACACAATTAGCTAAAAGCCATTTTACCAACAGGGCCTTAAAATTTGAAAGTGTCAAGCAAATTTTAGATCGAGTTGCTTAAGGAAAATTCTGGGCTTGTATTATCAGTAGCTGATAGTGAGACTGCAGATTTAATTTATATTTATATAAGCGAGGAGGTGTGGCGTACCTTCTGTATTTAACAGGGACTATTCCAGCTCTATACTGAGCAATATGCTGGAAAATTGGCTGGGAGAGATCAAAGTGTTTCAAGGGAGAGTTGCACCATCCTCCAGCATTGTTAGGCAGAGACTTGTTTTGAGGGCATAGATTTGTTGCAGTAACAATAATGGAACCTGGAAAGCACTCCTCACCATCGTTAACACATTTGATCTCGAAGCATGCTCCGCAGCTCAGTCCATCATTAAAGAGTGCAGTGCTCAATGCAGCGTTGTTTTCGCCATAACCTTGGCTGTATAGATCTCCATAGCCACAAGCTCCACCTGCACAGCACCATTATATTAATTAGTGTATTATTTATTTACTGAGTTAGTCTATCTGATTTCTGGGACTTACCCATTGTACCAGATGCATCAGCGCCTCCGTAGAATGTTGCGTGGGCATCAGACCATTCGCCGTTGCCAGAACCATGGACAACAACACTGCTTAACCTGGCCATCAATGACACTGTTATTATTAGGAAAAAGGTCTTCATTATTTCAAGACAATAGAATCTGGGCTGGGGTATTATGATGTATCTGGCCTGTTACAAGTTGACACTTATATACTTTGAAATTTGTGTGTGGAGTCAGGTGATTGGATCTTATATTGTGTGAGATAGACAAGTACAGAAAATGGTGCATCTTTTTAATAATATCTTATATATGCTACGTGCACTGATAATGTGGGACTTCCTTTGAATAAGGGTCAGCTAGCATGCCATGCCATTTGGGCAAGCTTTACTGGAGTGTGTTGACCACATATTTTGAAAGGTACTGCCATTATATAATTTAACTTTTTTTAAAAAAATAATAATAACATTAATGATAAGTTTACAGAATTTTCTGCTATTCAATACTCTTTTGTTAAGCTGTCTATTTGATGTCATTCGAATGGCTTTTATTTATGATGTTATTTACTGGATTTGTTTCATTAATGGAATGCCTGATTATTTTCAAAAACAACTAATAATAATAATAATAATAATAATAATAACAACAACAATAATATTAATATTAATAATAATAATAATGAGATACACATTATATTGGTTAAGCCTATATTTAATTTTCTAGTTTCCAATTTTCGAATTTTTTATTTGTCATTCTTTATTTTTCGTGTACCAAACCTACAGATCTGAAACCATTGAGTTCGCATGCATGTGAGCTATTTAATGGCGGATGGCCGACTACATGTGCTCAGCATGCCAAGGATCTCCTCACATATGATCCCTAATGCGTTACTCTGTATTCAAGGATTATAAATTATTCACAAATTCACTATTTTTCTGTTATTTTATGGGTCTAGATTCGTGTAATTATACGTGTAAATATGATAAATATTAAAGAATATTTTTTGAGTAACACCTCAATCAGTAACAAAGTGCACTCTCTCATAAGTTTTGAGATAAGTTTTGAGATAATTACATTTATAAAGTTTCACCTGTGACATTTGGTTAATTTGGATGAGACTCACCGTATCTCATCCACACCTATACGGGTTGGTTCAAATTGGCCACTGAACGTAACCTGAAAATGCAATTAGGTGATGCGTAGTATATTTACAAACAAATAATTCCCGGAGTATTCAGGTAGTCGAACCACAGGGAGATGGGGTACTAATCACTAATTACTCGCTTACTCATAAGAGCTAGTCTGATCGAAACTTGATGGTTGATTGGTTGCATAAAATAACGAGCAAGAAATAAAACAAATATTAAGGTTTCGTAAACAATAGAGCAAAATGGGATTCTTGGGATCACAATGTTTAATCACCTAGTGCCAATTAACGTTTGTAATATTTGGTTTGGAATTAAGATCTGTGTGGGAATGCAAAGTGGAATCGAATTACTCCCGTAATCCCTATTCCTAGTGAATTTCCACTCCCGTGGCTTAAACACCCGATAAGATCGAAAATCAGCATTCAATTATTCCTAATTACTACCACCTCCCGATGAGCAACAATCTAGAATAAACTTCCCCTAATAAATTCCCCTTTCCCAAGGTCTAACCATTAGGTGCAATCGTGTGTGCCCTAATTTATGCCCCAATTCCCATTGGTGACACAAATATGACTATGAAGCTAGTAATTTAGGCCTTTAATTACCAACAACAACAGGTTATTACAAGATTGCAACACAAATCATAAAACCAAACATAAATATATTAAGAAATTAACGAACAAGGCACATAGGTTCATAAACAAATTCACCCAAAAATCCCTAAGGAATTTAGCCGCTCATGGCCATAATAACAGTAAATTCAATGCTTAAAGATAAACAAATAACAACGAGAATATGAGTAAGAGTGAAAGAGTTCTCCCGAATCTTTCTAGCTAGTTCTCTATTCCAAAGCTAGTTGTAAATCTTCAAATTGGTCCTCTTTGTGCTTTGCTCTTGATTGCCTTCAAAACACCGAAATCGTAGAAGAAAAAGAGGCCCTAGGGTTGATAGAAGATGATCTTTTTTATAGTAGAAACCCGATGGCATCAATTTAGGAGACTTCCAAATTAACGTCTCTCCGCGATCTCGACGCGTCGAGCCTCCAAAATGTGCGATGTTTGAAGCTACTGGAATTTTTCGACGCGTCGAGGCATGGGCTCGACGCGTCGAATTGCTGATGCTTCGACTTCTTCCTCTTTTAATAATTTCGTGCTTGAAATTCTTCCCTTGCTCTCACGCTCACCCTGTAATGGTGAAGAAAAACACTACCGAACACCGTAAGGCATTCAAAACAAGTGTAAAAACATAATCTAACGAGAAAGCAAGGAAAACAAGTAATAAATGGACATGATTCAATAACTTTGTTTCTAAAATGAATCAGAAAAGCTATAAAAACATGCACAGATGTGATAACATCACCCCCTCACACTTAAGACTTTGCTTGTCCTCAAGCAAAACACTGAATCAAACCGCAGGTCAAAACACAAGGATCGCTCCCAATTTCTCGTGCACAACTTAGCAAACCACAAGCCAACTCACTGCAGGACACATGCTTCCAGAATCATCTCTGCTTGGCACCCGCGTTCTACTCCCAAGCCAACATACAAGCACCCAGATTGTTAGTTGTGAGAAATCTAGTGTGCACACGTACTCAGTTAGGTTTATGCAAAACACGACATCAGAAAAACATCCTAGGCTTGCCCTTCCTACTCCTCCTGAATAGAACTAACATTGCATGTAAAGATCAAATAGGTCTTTATTAAGCTTGTAATGGGGCTAAGGGTCACGGTTTATAGGAAACAAAAAGGTAAGGAATAATAACAAAGGGAGAGAATGACACAATTATCTATAGCTTTAAATCTTTAGAAGAGAAATACGAATGATGAATAAGGGAGCAAAAAGGCAACTTATCAAGACCATAATAGCTTTTTTTTTTTTTTTTTTTTTTTTTTTTTTTTTTTGGTAAGATCAATACTGCAAACTGAATGAGAAAAGAATGGGTTTATTCAAGCAAGTAATAACCGAGTTGCTCTTAAGGTAAGCTCCAAAGAAGAATTCTCTTCTATAAGATTTTATTTCTAAAGACAAAAGTTACATTCTCTCAAAGGGTGGAAGGATAATATTTGGCCAAGGGCAATAGGTTATAATATGGGGGTAATTCAAAGAAAAAAAATAATCACGAAGAGGTAATAAGTGCTTAGCACTTATTATAAAGAAAATAAAAGGCTCAAAGGGGACACAAAGGATAACACATACGTAGGGACAGGTTTAAAGGCTATGAGCTACAAAGAATGGCCTAAATCATTTCAATATATGCGAAAATTAGACTAAACCTGAGGAGTAATGAGACAAGCTTTCGTAAGCCAACTAATTGTCGGAATTCCACATAAACTTTCACTAGCACACGCACTAACCACTAGATTAAGAAATTAGTCCGATTATGAGTGGGTGACAAGTATATTAACAAGGAAAATAAATCACTGAAGTGTTACACTTTGATTTCATCCATGGCATAATGAGATGCAACAAGTTCCACCAAAACAAACCACCACCCGACACGAGAGAGCGAGAGCAATTAAGTATCAAGACCAACAGTTTATTGGAAATAAAGGCACATGAGTCATTCAAGCAAGAATTCAAGTGAAGGGAACGAAATGGAATACGAGATCAGACTAAATAAAATTAAAGTGCAAAGACTAAGGAAAGGAAAGGAAATACTTCAATCCTTCCCCCTCACACTTAGAGAATTACATTGTCCCCAATGTAATAAATTAAGTGAAGGAAAAGGAGTTGGAGTATCGCCGTAGAACCTTCTACTGGTCGGTATCTGGAGGTGGTGGTGGTGGATAGTATCCCCGATAGAAGTCCGGGATGTACTGAGGATCTTGCAGCCAAGGCGGTGGTGGTGGAAAGTTCGGCTGGAAGCCGAGATGGGCCTGATTCTGCTGGTGTATGGAGGTGCCCATGAACCAGTTCACCTCATCAGTTCTGCGCATGAAATCCTGCCAATCATGAGGGAAGGCAGGTGCAGGGGCAGGTGTAGGTGCAGCCATCTGTGGGGCAATCGCATCATCGCCCCCTTCATCATCTTCATTTTCTTCCTCTTCCCCGAATTGCTGACCGGTCTTGTAGCGTTTCTCTAGGTAATGCTCAGATATGAAGGCTTGTGGAGCTAACTTGACCTCCTGGGATTCATCAATAGGAACCCCAGCCAGCTGGCAAAGATGCGTAATGAGGTAGGAGTGGCCGAGGTAGAATCGACCCTTCGCATCAGCAGCTTCGCGGATATTGCCGTTGATGATATGACCAATGTCAATAGTCTTGCGTTGCTGGATGCAGTAGGTAAGGAGCACTAAGTCTTTTCGGACAGTCCCCTTGTGAGAATTTAGGACAAGTTTCGCTTTGATGAAGTCCAAGATTCCCCTGTCAGCAGTCTTAAAATACTTGTAGTCCATGTGGGAGGCTACACCCCCCCTGATATTATTCGGCCGTCGGGTGGAAGAATTGTGCAATACGATTCAGCCAATCTTGGTCCATGTGGCCACGACCCATATCTCGATTAAAGTAATCATCGCCCATGTAATTACGCGTACCGTAGTACTCATTAATGGCTTCCGCCGAGAAGTCGACCGGAACGCCCCGGACAATACAAACATTAGTTTCGAGGCCATCCTTTGCATTCGCATAGAATTCCCGCACCAGATTGCTAAATGCATCTCCTGGTTGAGCAAGGAATCGGGGTGCCCAATTCCACGCTTCCGGGGCCACTATATGTGCGCCACGTTCTTTTAGAACGGGCCGGGCAGACATCAACTGATGGTATCGTTGAGCCGCTGCGTCTGTTACAAAACGTTTATATTGTGCAGCATGTTGTGGTTGTTCCCGGACTTGCGAAGATTCGGCTCTTGGCTGTTTGGATGGTTGACGGGCTCTTGGTGCCATAGGAAAAACCTAAAAAAATAAAACAAAACTTTCAAGTACTTGATCTAGAATTTATAGCCAAAATATCAAAAGTGAGTCTAAGGATTTCAAACTTTTCAATCAAGGGCACAAACTTCACTTGGGCATTTAATCAAACACCTTGTGGGCATGAACTTTAACACTAGGTTTATGTAAAATTGACATATCAAATTCATCCCACAAGTTCACCGCACAACAAAACAAGGGTACCCATCATCAGAAGCAAGGTCTACAATCATCATAGACTAAAATAAGGAATTAAAACTATCAAAACAAAGTGAAATAGAGCTTAAACAACCAACGAAGAAATTTAGAAAATTAAATCAAAATGTGAGTGCAATGGTTTCTAATGTAGCAATTACAACATGTATATAGCAACAATCAATCATTAGTAATCAACAATGGGCAATTTATCTAACCAAAAATTCAAAATCAGGGGAAAAATTCGTGGGTAGGGCGCCTACCCAAGAATAGAGCAAAAATGTACCTCCAAATCAAGAAATTGAAAGTAGAAAAGAGTGATTATTGTTACCTTGCAGCTTTAGGAAGTGAATGGAGAGGAGAACCAGAGGATTCGGACCTGGGATATCTTGGGCGAGTGAGAGATTGAGAGAGAATTATGAGTTTGGGGAGAAAAATGGACCGCCGGTCGCAATTTAACAGATCTGTTCTGTCGCGTCTCGACGCGTCGAAAATTTCCAGTAGGAAAATTTTCGAGACGCGATGGTTTCGACGCGTCGAGCTTATGGCTCGACGCGTCGAAAATTTCCAGTAGGCTATCCCTTCAGGCTCGACGCGTCGAAAAATTCCAGTATGGAATTTTTCGCCTAGGTCGATTTTTGGCCTTTTTACTTAGCCGAAAACAACCCCTATACCGCTGTTTGACACAGAAACCAGAAAAAACACTCAAATTTTGTAAAACAAACTAGAACTAAATAATTAGCAAGAAATAAAAATGCAATAAATTAAAGGATAACATGGGGTGCCTCCCATGGAGCGCTAAGTTTAACGTTGCTAGCTCGACTGTACCTCCTTTCAGGTGTCACATGTAGGTCGGGAGATGAAGGCAATGTATCACATTGACCTTAGGTTCCTCGGGTGAATAGTAGTGCTTCAACCTTTGTCCATTGACCGTGAATTCATCTTGTGTTCCTTGAAGCACCACGGCACCCGATGGATGTACCTTAATCACTTTGTGTGGCCCAGTCCACTTGGATTTTAATTTTCCTGGGCATAATTTCATCCTTGAATTGAATAGAAGGACGTCGTCTCCCGGGACAAATTCTCTCTTTAGAATGTGCTTGTCATGCCACCTCTTGGTCTTCTCCTTGTAGATTTTCGCATTGTCATAGGCTTCGAGCCTGAATTCGTCAAGTTCGTTTAGTTGATGTAGCCTCTTCTCACCTGCGAGTTGCAAATCCATGTTGAGCGTCGTGACTGCCCAATGGGTTTTGTGTTCTAACTCCACGGGCAAGTGACAAGGTTTCCCATAAACAAGTCTGAAAGGTGAAGTTCCAATAGGATTCTTGAAAGCGGTCCTATACGCCCACAATGCATCATCAAGCTTTGTGGACCAATCTTTTCGAGACGGATTGACCACCTTCTCAAGAATGGATTTGATTTCTCGGTTTGACAGTTCCACTTGACTATTGGCTTGGGGATGGTATGGTGTAGAGAGTCTGTGATGAATTCCATACTTCTCAAGAACTTTCCCCAACGCTTTGTTGCAAAAATGTGTCCCATTATCAGTGATCAAAGCTCTTGGTACCCCAAACTTTGCAAAAATATTCTTCTTGATGAACTTGATGACAACCTTGGAATCATTAGTAGGACAAGCAATGGCTTCAACCCATTTGGAGACATAGTCCATTGCCACTAGGATGTATTCATTACCAAAAGACTTGGGGAATGGACCCATGAAATCCAAACCCCAGACATCAAATAGTTCCACTTCAAGAATACTTTGTTGAGGCATCTCGTTTCTCCTTCCCACTGTGCCCACTCTTTGGCACTTATCACAACGAGCTATGAAAGAATGTGAATCTTTGAATATACTGGGCCAATAAAATCCTGACTGTAAAACCTTTTTCGCGGTTCGAAAAGGTCCAAAATGCCCTCCATAAGGTGATGAATGACAATGCTTTAAGACACTTTCTACCTCGTCTTCGGGCAAGCATCTTCTTAATATTCCATCTGCACATCTCTTGTATAGAAACGGTTCATCCCAAAGATAGAATTTTGCATCAGTTTGTAGTTTCTTCTTCAATGACCTAGAAGCATTTGGTGGAAATTGTTGGCAAACCACATAATTTACCAAATCTGAATACCAGGGCATAAAAGCACGAAGAGCCATCAGTTGCTCTCCCACGAAGTAATCATTGATTGGAATCTTTTCTCCTTCAGCCACTTCGTTTTGGTTCTCTAATCGGGACAAATGATCAGCTACAAGATTTTCTGTTCCCTTTTTGTCTATGATTTCCAAGTCAAACTCTTGAAGCAGAAGGGTCCACCTCATCAGTCTTGGCTTGGATTCCTTTTTGCTCATCAAGTACTTCAATGCTGAGTGATCGGTATGGACAATGACCTTGTATCCGTTTAGGTAGGATCGAAATTTATCAACAGCAAAAATCACAGCCAGCATCTCCTTTTCTGTTGTGGCATAATTAACCTGAGCCGCATCAAGAGTACGGCTTGCATAGTAAATTGGGTGTAGGCACTTGCCCTTCTTTTGACAAAGGACGGCCCCTACAGCATAGTCACTAGCATCGCACATAATCTCAAATGGTAAGTTCCAATCTGGCGGTGACATTATGGGAGCTGTTGTCAATGCCTTCTTCAATCTGCAGAAAGCTTCAAGGCAAGCATCATCAAAAACAAAGTTAGCATCTTTTAAAAGCAATTGAGTTAAAGGTTTAGAGATTTTTGAAAAGTCTTTGATAAATCTCCTGTAGAACCCTGCATGGCCAAGAAAACTCCTTATTCCCTTTACTGAAACAGGTGGTGGCAATTTCTCTATGACTTCCACCTTGGCTGGGTCAACTTCAATGCCTTTTTCTGATATCTTGTGTCCAAGAACAATCCCTTGTTGTACCATAAAGTGACATTTTTCCCAATTTAGAACAAGGTTTGCTTCTTGACACTTTCTTAATGCCTCATCCCAATTATCAAGACAATTATCAAAAGAAGAACCATATACAGAAAAATCATCCATGAAAACTTCCATAGTCTTCTCAACTAAATCGGAAAAAATGGCTAACATGCACCTTTGAAATGTAGCTGGTGCATTACATAACCCAAATGACATCCTTCGATATGAAAAGGTGTCATACGGGCATGTAAACGTAGTCATCTCTTGGTCATCAGGGTGGATTGGGATCTGGAAGAACCCCGAAAAACCATCAAGAAAGCAAAAGTAAGAGTACTTAGCCATCCTTTCAATCAGCTGATCAACAAACGGAAGAGGAAAATGATCCTTCCTGGTGGCATCGTTCAACTTTCTGTAGTCCGTACACATCCTCCACCCAGTGACTAACCTGGTAGGAATGAGTTCATTTTTCTCATTGCGGACTACAGTTGTCCCCCCTTTCTTTGGGACCACGTGAATAGGGCTGACCCACTTACTGTCAGGGACAGGATAAATGATGCCAGCTTTCAACAATTTTAGGATCTCTTTCTTCACAACCTCCTGCATCGTAGGATTTAACCTACGTTGGTGCTCAACACTGGGTCTACGCCCATCCTCTTAGTTAATCCTGTGCATGCAGTAGGAAGCACTAATTCCAACAATATCATCAATAGTGTAACCAATGATTCTCTTATGTTGTCTTAACACATTTAATAATTTTTTCGTTTCATCATCTTTCAAATGAGCACTTACAATCACTGGGTAAGTAGAATTTGGACCAAGATAAACATACCTCAAGTTTGTTGGTAAAGGTTTTAATTCTACCTGTGGTGGTTCCTTTTCCTCGAGGTTACAGGCAAGGAATACTAGTGGCAATTCCTGTGATTCCTCATCATTCGTACCATCCTCCAAGCATTCACTCTTTGTAGAATCTTCACCTTCGAGTTGTAAAGGGTCATTGGAGATCCATTTACCCCTCTCATAAGTTGCAACACATGAGTCGATTTCGTCTACATAAAAGCAAGAATCAAGACAAGAAGATTTGTTAGCCAATTCAAAAACATTAAATTCAACTTTATCTTCTCCAATCTCAAGAACTACGGTTCCTTTTTTGACATTGATTATAGCTCCAGCGGTTGCCAAGAATGGTCTCCCAAGGATAATAGGAATTTTAGCATCTTCTTCCATCTCTAAAACCACGAAGTCTCCCGGAATGTAAAATTTGTCAATCTTCACTGGCACATCCTCCAGAATTCCGATAGGATATTTCACTGATCTGTCTGCCAACTGAAGAGTTATGGATGTAGGTTTTGGCCCTCCAAGTTGCAGCTTTTGACACAAAGAATAAGGCATCAAACTCACACTTGCCCCTAAATCGCATAAAGCCTTTTGAACAAGTGATCCTCCAATAACACAAGGGATAGAGAAACTCCCAGGATCCCAAAGTTTTGGAGGAAGCTTGTTTTGAATTAAAGCACTACATTCTTCACTTACTGCTACTGTCTCACGATTCTCAGCTCTCCTCTTGTTGGATAAAATCTCTTTCAAAAACTTAGCATACGAGGGAATCTCGGTCACTGCATCAATAAAAGGAATGGTGATATCCAGTTGCTTGATCAAACTGTAGAAGTTTGCTCTTCTTTCCTCTTCCCTAGATTTCTGGAATTTTTGTGGGAAGGGTAGAGGTGGTGTATGCTTCTTTACGGGTTCAATTTCTTGTATCTCATCTTCCTTATCTTGAGCAATAACACCCTCATTCACTTTCTCATTTTCACCTTCTAGATTCTTCTTGACAATTTGTTCCCCATTAGGATACGGTGGGTCCAATAATTGCTTCCCACTCCTAGTGGTGACGGCGTTCATGTGTTCACTTGGTTTTTCGGGCATAGCTGGCAACTTACCTGTGACTTTAGTACTTGATATAGATGGTTGATTTGCTAACTGATTTTCAACCATATTTTGGCGAGTATCCATCCGATCCAACCTTTCTGTAATCTCTAACTGACCTTTAACCAATTTTTCCAACAATAATTCCATATTCCACGGGACCGGTGTTTCCACATTAGGCTTGGATTGATTTACTGGAACTTGATATCCTTGGTTCTGCCTGAATTGTGGTGGATGATTTCCTCTAAAATTTTGCTGCCCCTGAAATCCTGGTGGTTGACTTCTACTATTTAAGTACTGGGGATTAGCCGCCCCAGCTGGATTACCCAAGAGAAACCAGGATGATTCCTCGATGCATTTGGATTGTAGGTTCCTCGTTGTTGGAATGCCGGTTGTATACTACCATACCCTACCACATCAACTTGTTTCATTGTAGCTTGAGAATCAACACTGAGACACTCCTCTGAATTGTGCTCTCCTCCACACAACTCACACATCATTACAGGTCTTGGAGGAGTAGAAGCTTTAGAAACATTACCTGAAGCTTGATTCTTGATAGTAATCTGGGCCAACTGTTGAACTAAAGTGGCTACATTATCAAACTTAGCCGATAGAGCGGATATCTGATCAACTTCAGTCACGCCTCCTATCAACTTCTGGGGAGATCTCTCTGAATACCAAGTCGTCCCATTCATCGCAACCTTTTCCAACAATTCTTCAGCTTGATCTGGCTCTAGGATTGTAAATGATCCTCCCGATGAAGCATCGACTAGGATTTTTGAATTGTCCAGTAATCCCTCATAGAAAGCCATCATTAAATCCCAATTCTGAATACCGTGATGAGGACATTGTATCCTCATCTCTTTGAATCTCTCCATGACTCTGCCAAAGACTCACCAGTTAACTGTCTGAAATTCTGAATAGATCTCCTCATTTTCTGAGTCTTAGATATGGGAAAAAAATATCTTAAGGAACTCTCTGTGCAACTGGTCCCAAGTTTCAAAATAGTTCGCCGGATAAGAGGCAAGCCAACTGTTAGCTTTATCCCTTACAGTGAATGGAAAGAGGCGAAGCTTGATAGCATCTCCCGGGACTCCATTAATTTTGAAAGTGCTGCAAATCCTCAGAAATTTTGCAATGTGAGCATTAGGGTCTTCTGTTGGTGACCCACCAAAAGGATCCAAAGCAGCCATCTGAATTATAGCCGGTTTTATTTCAAAATTATCAGCATCAACCCCTGGCACATTGATACTTCTATGTCCTGCTGCATCTGGAGCAACGTAATTTGAGATGGGCCTCCCAATGCGTAGTGGTTGATTGACTCCCTCTCCATCGAGAGCCAGATTGTTCTGATTTCCATTATTCGCCATCCTAACCTGTTTTCTTAAGAACTTGGCTCGCTTTTCGATCACTGGGTTAAAAGGTTCTAATCCTTCGTTCCCTGAAGAGCGAGTTCGCATATAACACCAAGTCCGCTGATAACAGAAACATAGCTCAACACAAGAAACTCGTTATCGATTAGCGAAAATAAAAATGAATTAAAATAAAAGAAAAGAAAATTAAAAAAAAAAAGACTAGACTCCGAAAATAAAACTTTCACTAATATTAGTACGTAGCGCCACCTCCCCGGCAACGGCGCCAATTTGATGCGTAGTATATTTGCAAACAAATAATTCCCGGAGTATTCAGGTAGTCGAACCACAGGGAGATGGGGTACTAATCACTAATTACTCGCTTACTCATAAGAGCTAGTCTGATCGAAACTTGATGGTTGATTGGTTGCATAAAATAACGAGCAAGAAATAAAACAAATATTAAGGTTTCGTAAACAATAGAGGAAAATGGGATTCTTGGGATCACAATGTTTAATCACCTAGTGCCAATTAACGTTTGTAATATTTGGTTTGGAATTAAGATCTGTGTGGGAATGCAAAGTGGAATCGAATTACTCCCGTAATCTCTATTCCTAGTGAATTTCCACTCCGTGGCTTAAACACCCGATAAGATCGAAGATCAGCATTCAATTATTCCTAATTACTACCACCTCCCGATGAGCAACAATCTAGAATAAACTTCCCCTAATAAATTCCCCTTTTTCCAAGGTCTAACCATTAGGTGCAATCGTGTGTGCCCTAATTTATGCCCCAATTCCCATTGGTGACACAAATATGACTATGAAGCTAGTAATTTAGGCCTTTAATTACCAACAACAACAGGTTAAAACAAGATTGCAACACAAATCATAAAACCAAACATAAATATATTAAGAAATTAACGAACAAGGCACATAGGTTCATAAACAAATTCACCCAAAAATCCCTAAGGAATTTAGCCGCTCATGGCCATAATAACAGTAAATTCAATGCTTAAAGATAAACAAATAACAACGAGAATAAGGAGTAAGAGTGAAAGAGTTCTCCCGAATCTTTCTAGCTAGTTCTCTATTCCAAAGCTAGTTGTAAATCTTCAAATTGGTCCTCTTGTGCTTTGCTCTTGATTGGCTTCAAAACACCGAAATCGCAGAAGAAAAAGAGGCCCTTAGGGTTGATAGAAGATGATCTTTTTTATAGTAGAAACCCGATGGCATCAATTTAGGAGTCTTCCAAATTAAACTTCTCTCCGCAGATGCTCGACGCGTCGAGCCTCCAAAATGTGCGATGTTTGAAGCTACTGGAATTTTTCGACGCGTCGAGGCATGGGCTCGACGCGTCGAATTGCTGATGCTTCGACTTCTTCCTCTTTTGATCATTTCGTGCTTGAAATTCTTCCCTTGCTCTCACGCTCACCCTGTAATGGTGAAGAAAAACACTACCGAACACCGTAAGGCATTCAAAACAAGTGTAAAAACATAATCTAACGAGAAAGCAAGGAAAACAAGTAATAAATGGACATGATTCAATAACTTTGTTTCTAAAATGAAATCAGAAAAGCTATAAAAACATGCACAGATGTGATAACATCATTAGGCTACTGAACG